GACTTTACTCTGTTTATTTACGCCGGGGATTGGAATACCCCGAATACTGTTGTCACGGCGAATCGCTTGACCTAGCGTTTCGGCGACTAAACAGTATAATAGTGGTGAAAGAGGACAGCCCTGTCGAACTCCCCGGTCGAGCTTGATTTTAGCCGAGAGCCAGCCGTTATTTAGCACGCAAGAGTGAATATCAGTGTAAACAATATTCACCCATTGTCGAAAACTCGGGCCGAAATTAAACCGAGTTAACACACGCTGTAGGAAGCCGTGGTTAACGCGGTCAAAAGCTTTCTCCTGATCTAAAGTGATTAGTGCAGCAGAAAGCTGTTTGTGGTCGATATAATCAAGAGTATCTCGGAGTAGAAATAAGTTCTCATAGATACTCCGGCCCGGTACGCCACAGGTTTGATCTTCGCTCAGAATTACAGACAGTACTTTTTTAAGCCGGTTGGCCATTACTTTGGTGCAAATTTTATAATCCGCGTTAAGCAGAGAGATCGGGCGCCAGTTTTCTAAAAGCAACGGGTAAAGGAAACAAATTATCCCCTGCTTTTGCGAGTCGGATAATTGCCCGTGTTCGTAAGAATAATTTAGGACTTCTACTAGGTCTTGTCCTAGCGAACTCCAAAAACGTCTATAAAATTCTACCGGAAAGCCGTGCGCTCCGGGAGATTTATTTGTCTGCATCTGGCTAACGGCCTCATAGCACTCGGAGAGCGTGAGGGCTCCTTCACATTTCTCTTGATCTTCGGATGTCAGAGTGGTATCTAGTTGATTCAAAAGCCAGTCTTGGCATTTTAAATCGACCGGTTCAGCAGTGTACAAGTTCACATCAAAATCTCGGCAAGCTGTCAAAATATTTTTATGAGACGTGACTGTCCGATCCCCGACACGTAATTCATTTATCGAATTACGAGTCTGGCGTTGCTTTTCGAGTTGATAAAAATATTTTGTGGGTTTTTCTCCGAATTCTAGCCATTGCTCTCTGCTACGGATTATTGCTCCTTCTAC